TTCTTTAAGATTCATATTCTCTCTTTTCTTTCTCTGATATTTGTCATAGCAAGACTGTCTAAGTTTTAAAAATCTATATTTTCTCCTTCAGCATAGGAGTAGGGTTACAGTGAAGGGTTCTTTTATCTCTTTAAACTCCACTTTCAATTTAAATTTAAAAATAAAATTAGAAAAACATTATTCATAGACATAAAAATCAATTTTTTTACTCAAATTCAAAAATAGTCAAAAAGAAAAGCAAAATATATATGCAAGTGTTTGTGATATCATATTGATTGCATTGGACTTTTAATCCCAAATAGTTTTTTGGGGTGTGCTCTCTATAATACTATTAATAACAGCTGAATTGTTGGATGGTTAATAGGGACCAGTTTAATGGTACTTGCTATTCACATCAGTCCATCAGATATCTGTTTTCCTCTTCTACAGATACAAGTAATAAGGCTTACAATAAGTTATTCAAGTTTTTATTGTTGTTGCTATTGTTTTGTTTTGGAGACAAGGTCTTACTAAGTTGCTGAGTCTGGCCTCAAACTTGTGATCCTCCTGCCTCAGCCTCCCAAATTGCTGGGATTACAGGCATGCCTAGCAAATTATTCAAGATGGTAGGGTTCTCATTTCAGGATCAAGATTGGAAGGACAGTGAGAAACATTGTTATACATAGTTTTTGTATTCTCACTCAGGGATTATGTTTTCTATAATCACTACTAATTTTGTCCTTATATGGAACAACAGAAGCTTGTATCCTTGTTCCGTTCCTTAGAGATTTTCCTCTAATGTGTAGCTATAGTGTACATTCAGAAAAATCTTAATTTCAGATATCTGTCTTTATGGTTATCTTCCTCAGGCTTTTTCAAAGAGGGGAGAAAAATCTGATTTCTTGAACCAAAAAAATCCAAAAATACAAAACCAAGCCAACAATTATGAGAAAACATTCTTTCCACCTCATAGAGTATTAAATTTTTGACCTTTTTTGATTTCACAATGGAGCCGAGGAACAATTTTCATGTGTAAACAGCCATCGTTATAGATGTGACTTATTACAACCTTCACTAGGAAGCTGTTAAGAGGTACAGTGACATTTATATAGTTACATATGGTTTGGATGTTAACTCATGTCTGATGAAAAAAGTTATTTCTTTTAGGAGTCTCTTTGCTCCCTTATTTATTCTTGTCTTTCAGAAATTGTTTTTTAAAAATTTACACATGAAACTCTCTAATTCCACATTGATTATTGTGAACTTTGATGGGTCAAACAATTCTAGCTGTTTGGCAAAAGGAATCTAATGACAGCATCGAAGTGCCTGCTACCCTAGGTCCCTGGTCAGGGTACCACAGGAGCAAGAGCACAGCTCCAGGTGAGAACCACCTGTTGCACATCCCAGATTTTATCTCAGACCACACAGGCGTTCCTCCATCTTCTGCAGGTCTCCTAGGTCTCACCAAAAGACCATCTTTGGAAAGAATTTTTTTCTTCCCAGCTTCCTTGTGTCTTTGTTTTTTAACTTGAAATGAATTGAAAGTGCATTCCAGGTAAGAGGAGGGAAAGGCATTGACATGCACTTCCCTGCCTGACAGATGGCCATGCCCTCCCTCAGAGGTTTCCAACCCTGTGCGAGGTCTGCTTCCACTGCCACTCAGTAGATGATCTGGAGCCTTCCTCTATCAGACATCCCAGAAAAAAGGCATGTGTCTGTATAAAGAAACACGATGTTGAGGTTTTCACGTGCATTTAGTTGTAAAGGGATGGCTCTTTTTTCACAGTACAGTGACTTATTTCTCCATCGGAAGCTCCAAGAAAATCTGCTCAGATCACAGATTCCTGTTAAACCTCAGTGAGGACATGAGCAGGAATAATGGATAATTTTAATTGTATATTATTACATTGTGGATTTTCTCATATGGAAATATTTCCCCCTTGATACGTCATAGTTCATTTAAGAACAAGGGGACCAGCAGTGTGTGAAAAGAAACTGCATAATGTTTCTTTGTAGGTAATCAGCGGAAACGGTTCCCCATTTAGTTTAACAAAGTTTCCTTAAACATATGTAAATAGACACACAATGGCATGTGTGCAAATGTTTATATTTTAAAATATAAAACAGATCATATTTAACATGCATATATTGATTCCATATGGAAAACTAAACAAGGCTGCTTGGTGTTCTGTCTTATAAAGTAGTCAAATATGTTTAATGTATCACTGACTTTTATGTAAATTACAATTTTTAAAATATATATATATATATATATACATGGTCAAAATGTGTATGTGCAACTTCATTTTTTTTTTTTTTTTTTTGGTGTGAGGGTGGGTACCTGGTGCCTGAACCACAGTGAGCAACCGTGGGTTCATGCCCACTGGATTTCTTTCTCTTCCCAGAACTTGATGAGTGCTTCCTGCCCAGAGACTTTGCCTTCCCTACTCCTCCACTGATCCTGTGCAGGGAACAGTCCTCCTGTGGCTCTGATCAGACTTGACCAGGTCTTGGAAGAGACCTTTCCTAACTACCTCTTTTAAAGAAGCTCCTTAAACCAGGTAACTTCTATCATTTCATCCTGTTTACTTCCTTTACAGTTTTGTTCACAGTCAATAATTTCTTATTTACTTGTTTACTTGTTTATTCCTGGTCATTTAAGAATGGTAATGAACTATGCCCTCTCTCTGCTTCAACTCCAGAAAACAGATCGAGAAACAGACACAGGAATTAGGCAGGAATAAAAAATATGTGCTTTGCTAGAAAGACTTATTGTTTATATCTTCAAAAAAGTTTCTCTCCAAATTAAAATTGTGACCACCAGGCCACCCTCAGCACCCAAATGAGACAGAGCGTACCCCCTTAAGCTTTATGCAAATTGATGGAAATGTGTGGTGAAAAAGAGAATAAAGAGGGCATCTCAGTTTCTCTTCCTGTTTTGCAAATTATAAATTTGGGGCTAGACAGGGCTAGGTGTATTCCAGAGTGATCCCATCCAGGGCTTTATATGCTTCCTCCCCTAAATGGAATTGAGGTAGCTTCCCTCTGCAGTTCATAATGAAGCCCCTACCCACAGCTGTTCCTCCAATCACAGAAAAGATGGGGTGGACCCTGCCCTCCAGGGCATGTGTTAAGGACTTTGTGAAACATAAACTATGAGAAACTCTTCATGCATCAGAGATTATAACTAGAAATACTTTGTACTGATTATCATGTGAACAAGAGGCTTGAATAGTCCTCACACTGTCAGTGGTATTTACACTTCATAAAATTTATGTTACATTATATAGCAATAATAACATTAATATTATATTACAACTGGTAATAGGTAACAAACTCTGAAGTATCTGAAATTTTATTTCAAAATAAATCCTAAAGAACCAATCATGAATATGCATAAAACTAGGGTTTGAAAGAATATTTATTTCAATGTAACCAAACAAGAAAAAAAAATACATCAAAAATTTCCGATAAAATTGTACATTGTGAATATAAAATATTGTTTTTATATAATATTATACACAATTAATATTTATTTCCATGTATATTTTGTTCATCACCTATATATGAATTTGATACATGAAAACTATTTGTAGAAGAGGCAGTTCAAAAATGTATGTATAGTGCAATTATAATACCATTGTTAATATACATATGTACATATATATACACACACACATATATATACATATATATATACATATATACACATTTATATATGTATATATATTTGAGGGTCTGTTTTTACTAAGGAGTAAACATCGAAATCATTTTTAAAATTATTCTGTTGGGTATGATTTAAAAATGAAAATCGGGGGACTGGGGTTGTGGCTCAGTGGTAGACCACTTGCCTAGCATGCGTGAGGCACTGGGTTTGATCCTCAGCACCACACATAAATAAATAAAATAAAGGTCCATTGACAACTAAAAAATATTTAAAAAAAAAATGAAAATCCAGCGTTAGCTTTTAAACTGTGATTTAAGGGTAGGGACAGCACTGGTCACATGGTTTTGCTGTGTGGTATTGCATCCCTCCTTATCAGGTCCCTTGCCTCCTGTGAGGTCTGTTCATATGCAGGGCCTCCCAGGGGAGCACTCTCTACAAAGAATCAGCCCCTAGTTCCAGCTGTTCTCATCTCTGTGACCTGCTTCAGATCCTTCCTATTGCCATAGGTAGGCTGCCAGCCTGGTACAGGTGACAAGGAAGAAGGTGATCAGGGAATCTGATGGCAATCTGAGCTGCTGAGGCTGTGACAGTATCTTAGAGACAAAAACAAAAAAAAATCTGTCACACTAGAAAATATGACTAGTTCTGAGATTTGTCACTCCATTAAGTGATGAAAAGGAAAAGTGAAAAGAACCAAACACATTACAGTTACAGTGGAGCAATCATCTTTCATGTCTCACTGCTAACATTGGAGTCTGTAAAATAAGAAAGAAGTGTCATTGCATTCAACAATATTTAAAATAGTTATGTGCATCCACTGCATGTAGTCCAAGAATTCTTTCACTTATGCCTACATTTCAGTGCCAAGTGCAGATGAAGGAGTAGATAAAACTCTCAAGAAACACAACGGCCACTAGAGATATAAAACAGTGACCAGAGATGCTCCCAGTACTCCCAGGGAGTACTGTTGGCTATTGGAAAGGAGGGTCCTAGAAGTTTTAAAGAAGCTACAGAAATGGGAAGTTAGTTAGTGGGGTTTTCAAATCTGTAAGAAGTGAGTACGAAGCAGGTGAGAAGGTGAGTGGGTGTATGGGCAAGGGATGAGTGATCAGAGGGCTTAGTCACTAAAAGCAAGCCCAGGAAGGAAAACTGGTTCCTTCAGCAGAGTTTTGTTGGGATTGTTTCTCTTCAAATGAAATCAACAATCAAGACATATCTGAGGATTAAAGTGAGCAAACCATCCTAAGTGATCCATTTCCAAACGCTCCCTCTGTGACATCCACTAACTACCTTGCATCTTTGCTCCACAGCTCTGACCAACTGTCCTGGTCCAGGTCCCCTCTCTGCTGGAAGGGCATGGGAGGCAACCAGACATGGATCACTCAGGTCACTCTACTGGGATTCCAGGTGGATCCGGCACTGCAGTGTTTCCTCTGTGGACTTTTCTCTGTCTTCTACACCTTCACCCTGCTGGGGAATGGGATCATCCTTGGGATTATCTGTCTGGACCCCAGGCTGCACACACCCATGTACTTCTTCCTCTCTCATCTGGCCATAGTTGACATGTCCTATGCTTCCAACAATGTCCCCAAGATGCTGGCAAACCTCGCGAAACAAAGAAGAACCATCTCCTTTGTTCCATGCCTCATGCAGACTTTCTTGTACTTGGCTTTTGCTGTTACAGAGTGCCTGGTTTTGGTGGTGATGTCCTATGATCGGTACGTGGCCATCTGTCACCCTCTACATTACGCTGTCATCATGAGCTGGAGAGTGTGCACCATCCTCGCTGCTGCTTCCTGGGCATGTGGCTCCCTCCTGGCCCTGGTCCATCTAGTCCTTATCCTGAGGCTGCCCTTCTGTGGGCCTCATGAGATCAACCACTTCTTCTGTGAGATCCTGTCTGTCCTCAAGCTGGCCTGTGCCGACACCAGGCTCAACCAACTCTGCATCTTTGCAGCCTGCGTGTTCGTCCTGGTGGGGCCCCTGTGCTGGGTGCTGGTGTCCTACACGCGCATCCTGCTGGCCATCCTGAGGATCCAGTCAGGGGAGGGCCGCAGAAAGGCCTTCTCCACCTGCTCCTCCCACCTCTGTGTGGTGGGGCTCTTCTTTGGCAGCGCCATCGTCATGTACATGGCCCCCCAGTCCCGCMACCCTGAGGAGCAGCAGAAGATCCTCTCCCTGTTCTACAGCCTTTTCAACCCCATGCTGAACCCCCTGATCTACAGCCTGAGGAACGCAGAGGTCAAGGGTGCCCTGCGCAGGGTGTTGTGGAAGGAGAGGCTGATCTGAGAGACATGAAAGGGCCACGTGTAGAGGAGAATTTGTTTCCTCTGAAATATGGGAGTTGGCATTTTTTGCCCTTTCCGAGAATACATGCTATTTAAAAATGGAATATGTAGACCTACACATATAATCTTAAGACAATATTTGGAGGAAAAAAAGTAGTTGAGTGTTTTCATGATCTTGGGTAAATGTGGAATATTTAAAGAAACTCAAAAAACACTGAACATAAAATCTTTAAGTGTGATAAATTTGGGACTTGAAGAAGTCACTGCTCATCAAAGTCATTATTAAGAATCATGAAGTAGAGTCACAGATCCAGTGAGAGTATTCAAACTATATATATATAAATATATATTTTATATGAAATACATATTTATATAGAAAACTATATATACATAAATACATATATGACTAAATCGAACTGTAGATAGTACATGGGATAAACTTCTTCAAATCAATGTAAAAAAGATAAGAAAATGTAATAAAATTAGCAAGTCACATGAACAGTCATTCTACAAAGATATGAACAGCTAATAAATATAAAGTTCTGCTTGATGCCATTAGTCAGGAAGAAATTGTACTTAAAGCTATTATGAGATTCTATTTCATACCCATTAAATTGTCTAAAATTTTTAATAGGTAATTCATCATTGTACAGATTGGAAATGTAATTCAAATTATTGGGAAATAGCTAATACTATCAAAGCTTTTATCCAGATTGGCCAAGTCAGTTTAGTTAATCAACATGATACAAATCCTCTAGATGTGACTTTTCCTATAAAGGGACATGAGTGATTAGATGCAATTCAAGGCCAAGATTTTGGAGCACTTCAAGAGTGAGTCTTTCCCTCTGACATCTTCTAGAACATACCATGACTCAACAGCTAATGAATTCTACATGTTCATATTTACTCCATCATATTTTGGAACTGAGAGCAGACTTACATACTATTACAACTTTGAATTTGAAACCTTGAAATAAAAAAATCCTGCAAAAGATTTGGATTGGGGCACAGTAAGCAATAAGAAACAGCAGAGAGACATATGGGACCGACTGGTTGTTTAGTGGTGAATTTATCAGGATTTAGATTTTTTAGTTGTTTTCTTTTAAATTTTGCAACCTTTTTATCAGAGGTATTCTATATCTTTATGTTGAGATGGTCCTAGTTTTCATTATATGTTCTGACAGCCACTCTCACCTTAGTCTGCGTTTTCTGGAAATGTAATTCTCAATCTGATGATACTTGATAATAATTTAGAATGGAAGAGAACATCAGAAGAGAAAATGGCCAGGAAAGGAATTGCAAAAGAAACTGGAGTCTTATAAAAGATAAATCTTCAACATGTGGAGAAGGAGATCATGAAGATTGACTAGGAAGGAGAATTCTAAAGTTGAGAAGTACTCAGACATTCACAGCCAGAGTTATCTTAGCTTCAATAATCTCAAAACATTTTTTAACCTATCTGGCTTTTTTTTAACCCCTGAAATATAGACTATTGTTCAGGAGTATATTTCCTAGTTTCCTCCTTCCTTCTTAGTGTCCTTGGCCAATTTAAAAAATCAAACATGCCCATTTCTAGCTTTTCTATGACTGCAGGGATTTCCTCCCATTTATCATTTCCAGTAGCAAAACAGTACATGATAGCAACTCTTGCTTTGCCACAGCTGATTTGAAATATCTTTGTGCCATCTCCTCCCAAGAAGAGTTGGTTGTGTGTGGCTCCAGTCTGTCTTGCTCAAAATATGTATTTAAAAAGAAATCACCCCTTGAGGAGCAGCACCCTTTGATGCTAAACTTAACACTGAAGTGGAGGTGGGGGAGATTAGACTTTACACTTCACAAAAATAATACTGTGATTAAACAAATACTCAGGTAACCAAATAAATATCAAAGAAGCCCTTAAATATTAGAGGTAGACAGATCATATCCAGAGTTTTATCCAAAATGCCCAGTTTCATACACACATACACATATCTCCATATATATGGATATATTTATATAATGTTAATGAAATAGGAAAGTATGACCTGCACTCCAGAAAAAAGCAAGCAAGAAGCTGTCTGTAAGAGTAAATAGCTGATAAATTTAACACATAAAACTGAAAATTAGTTGTTATAAATACATTTGATAACTAAAGTAAACCATGATTGCAGAAGTAATAGATTTTCCTAATTCAAACCACCAAGTTACATTGCTTCAGGCCAAAAATGCACTTTTTGGCCCATCATACAACAAAGGGCACAGAGCACCTCAGATAGACATGTTGTGTCACAAACCACACTGTATGAAAAGGCCACCATGCAGAACTAGCTGTGTGCCTTCCTGAAGGGGGCCATGGGAGGGTCCTAACTCAACACATGCCTCTTTTTTTCTGAAGGATTTGGGGAGTAAATTGGGGCGAGTCCTAGTACCCCTTCCCAACCCTTCCCCACATTTTTTCAGCTTCATTTTTTTCCTACCACATGCAGTTGCCCCTGGACCAGGGCAGCCACTATGATGGCCAGAAACAGGAATGCTCTGCACTCAAGGATAGTTACTAGGCCCTAAGGATTCCCAAAGGCTGTCGGGATGGAGCTGTTTTCACCCCATCCGGCAAAGTTGTGTGAGGGTTGACGTGGTTGTGTCACCCTGTGCTTGATGCAGCCCACTGGTTCTGGGCCTGTGTGGCCCCACCCTCCATGAAAGGGAATGGGCTGAGGGGAGACACTTCCTAAACTGGTGCTGCAGCCGGCACCTACAGCAGCACAGTGGCTGAACCCAACATGCCTTCCAACTGTGGAAAACTGAGTTGGAATCCATGACAAGTGGAGCCAAGGAGAAAGAACAGCAAACAGGAAACACATGAGTAAGTGACACACCAAAAATAAACACCCACGATGAAGGAAATATAATACACTGCTGCCTCAAGAGCTGTCCACAACAAGAGAGGATTTTGTCTCTTGGTACAATTATTGCAGACGCCGAAAAGGCTGAAGTCATAGGATTGGCAAATCCCTTCCTGCTCTTGGAACTCAAGTCAAAGAGGAGCTTGCAAGCCCCTGTGGCAGGACACCACGAGACGTTTTGACCATATGATGTTACACTACAAGGGCTGTTGGCGACTGAAGGAAAACTGTAGTAATACATGAGTAACATTGATTCTTGTCTTTCAGGTTACTTCCACCACAAATATCATTTGGAAATAAATTTCTGGGAACTCCACTGCACTTGGTCATACAAGATGTGACTGATCATGATGTAACTCTAAACATTGATGATCAAATGCTCAGAAAGATCTTTGGTTGTAATGGACAAAAATATACCAACTGCATTCCTTGCACATTGTGAAGTACTGTGGACAAGTACACGTTATCCTTATTGGTGTGCGCCGGGCACTACACACAGAAAAGAAGACATTGGGTTTCTGATGGGAATAAAATGTAACTTTCGCATGGTGGCTGTAAGTTCCCTGGGGATGTCCTCACCTCCAGTCATGGGATATTTTATGGCATTCTCAGTCTAAATTTCATCTCGGTGGAATAATGAATACCAAAGTCTGACGTGGGAAACAATATTCTGGGGAAACTAACCTATATTCTAATTTCACTCAAGCCATCACTACACAATGATAATAACAAGAATGGTGATTGTCCCCCAAGAGAAACAGGAGGGCTTTAGGGAAATCAGGTGCTCATCTAGGCATAATGGGACATGCCGAATTTAATGAGAAGTGAGACCCTGAGAAAAAGATTTGTTCATTAGAATAAGCTGATTATGGGGAATTCCCTTCCAGGAGGAAGGCACAGAATGGAACTCAACCTGAAAATAGGTGGCACTTTAAAAAAAAAAAAAATGGGTCTTGCAGACTATCAAATAATTCAGGATACTGCTGGGACTCAGTATTAGGAAGGATGCCCACCTTGATCAACAGTATCCCTTGACTGTTTTGATGCAGATGGGAACAAGTATCCTCCTTGATAGGCAGAGGAAGAACCACTACAGGGATCTCTCAGGTCTTATAGTTTATTGATATTCTCTGGGGACACTGATGATTTTCATTGACATACTACAACTGTCTTCATTTCAAGAACAAATAAGAATAAGACATAGCCTGTGGCCCAATTAGGGGGCTAGAAACTGTTTTGAATAAAAACCATGTCCTGATCATAAGACAGAGGTTGGCCCTGCATTATGAAAGAAAGTGATTTCAATGGAAATTTCCCCCAACTGATTAGGGATGCAGAAACAACTGTATCTTGTCTAACTGTAATGATGTTTGCACATGATAGTATTCTGGTTGTTAGGCAAAGACCACATCTGCTGGAAAAGCACAATAAATATTTCTCACCAATTTGTACCATGACCACACTGCAATATGATGTAAGATTGGTCTTGTAGGTAATTATTCAACTTCCTGTTGGAAATGAGTCCTATGATAATATGGAAACCAATGATTGAATATGTTGTGAGATCAAGAGAAATCTTCCTCTGAACATAACACCCATGGAAAATGACCAGTCTGTAGAAGAATTTGATTTAGCTTGGCACCAGATAGTTTCTATGCTAAATTATTCTGCACAAGGTTGTCACAGGGTACAAATAAATGGGAGTATAGGGTAATCAGATTAGTCCAAAAATATGAAAATGTATGTCTTGACTTTATAGGATGGATTAGCATCCTATAAAGGATAACCCTACCTTATTCTGACTCTTCCAAATTGTAGTCATGTTCATACTGACATTATTGCTCTATCTATTCATAAATGATCTTGTAAATATAAATGCTTATTTTGCTATAAGGGAACTTTCACCAGGGGCTATGTGAATAGAATGTGCAAGAAAGTATTAACTCAATTTAAATTGATATAACTTGGAAATTGAAAGAAATTTTAAAACATTCTAATTATAACACTTAGAGTAAGATATAGAGATGTAAGACATTTCTTTCTGAATTTGGATTTAAGGTCACTATTTTTATACTCCAGAGCAGTAGGCCACCAATAACAAAGATAAAATGGACATGTTA